TTGCAGTGGTTCCTACTTTAGCATGTTGCACATAGCTGCGTGTGTGAATTACATTCCTGTCCTTGGCTATAACATCAGTGCAGTGCTATCTGAACTGGTCCTTGGGCCTCAGCCTTAGATGAGTGTTGCTTCGTGTGCCGTGCTGGCATTCATAGGTGCTCGCGAGCAGAACTTGCTTTGGCAGCCGAGTAACGCCCAAGTTTCGAATTAATCTTGTTCAACAAGGTGAGAACTCCAGAGACCAGGATAGTCTCATTTATATGTGTGACCTGGGCTATTGGTGTGTCATTAGGGGGGGCCAGTGATTGCGACATATGATCAGAATTAATAAATGTGCGAGTCATTTTTTAACTTGGCAAATTTGGACCCTGGTACCAGCACACAATGGCCTACTCTTTCAAATGATGTCATGGGATCTTTGACATCCACTCTCTGAAGCAAATGGCACGCTGTAGTATTTTGAACGTAATGACACCTGCAGTAATAATTGGGGCGACCTACTGGATTTGAACCGTGAAACTCTGCAACAACTGTCCAAAGTGGGAGAGCCTGGCCACGTCGCGGGGTGAGCTGTGTCTCTGGGTGCACGGAGGGAGTTCACGTTCAAGTAGGCTGTCAAATGATTAGTTTAATGGCTCGGCTGTTCTGGCTCGGGGTGACCGCTGTGTTCATAACTTAGCTCGTGCGTGCTTTATGATGGCACAGCCGATTCCAAGCAGTAAAAACATAAGGATTTACATATTTGTCAAGCACGCTCAGCAAAATCATTACCACAACGCAACTTATTAATACGGTGCAAATTTAAGGAGTTGCGCTCGAAGGAGGGAACGCGCCGTGGAGTTCGTTCGTCCACCGAGGAGGGAGGTGAGATTAGCTCGTGTGCAGGTTCGAGATGGATCGTTGCTTCGCATGATCGTGAGCGATGGCGATTGCTTGGTGGGGGAGACCTTCGTCCAGCAGTGGATCGAACATGATCGGTCGCGATTTTGATGATGGTGATATCGGCGATGAGGAACGCTCAAAGAAATTTCAGCAAAAGAGGCGCAAACTGGAATGCGCACCGGTGGCTCAGTTCTGTGTGAAAATAACTGCGAGCGTGAGAATTAGCTTGGAGGACGAGACTTGTTTATCTCTGGCCTCACGAAGGAGTGGGAGGCCTCGCGGTTAAGTAAATTACGAAGTTACTCACGCTTACGCAAAGTTATACAAACTCGCCAGTGACAAAGAGGTCGACTTCGCAGTGGAGCTCGCTTGGGGGAGTGCATCTCCATTCCGCAGGAAGGAAGTTTGTTTTTCTTATTAAGATGAAGCCCGAGATAAATAAATGGCGACGTAAATATACAAACCCTGTGTCCACGTTTTATATCCACTCTTCTTATTCAGTATTTACGATGCGGCATTAACGTACACAACAATGCCTGCTTGGGTGTCTGTAAACGCTTTAGGTGCATGTTAATGGCCGCTCCTCCATGTCATTTTACTTTACGGGTTTGTTTTGGTGTTAGAGCAGGGACTTGTGTTAAACCTAGATTACCTCCATCGAAATTGTCATAATTTACAGCCCTTTGGTAATCCACTTCTGCACTAAAGCCCCACCCCCCCCCCCTCCCAACGTGTTGGCCATGGGGGTTACTTGACCATCATTCACCACGCTTGTGAGTGTGGGTTGGTGAGGGTGGGTTGGTGAGGGTGTGTTGGTGAGGGTGTGGGGGTGTGGTGGGGGGGTCCAGGACCAGTTTAGATACCATGGCGCCACTGACGTTAGCCGTAGGTGTTGAACGAACTGTGCTCTTGGGGTTCATGGTGTGGTGCTCTAACCACTCTGCCACCGCTCCACCCGAGGCCACGTGCTTCATCTGATGGAATTAAAAGGTGCCATTGCATGTTATTCCGAGTCATACGGCCATGGCAGAGCGAGACTTGAAGTTGTTTCCTGATTGACGGACGTGATGCACCGGCAGTGAAACTGCATTGCCGTTTTCTCTCGTTGCCCATCCCCCGCCATCTGAGGCCTTCACCCACCCCACCCTTGGCCATCTGCACAACCGACTCTTTCCCTTCTTTTAGTTCAGCCTCAAGACTCTCATGATCCCCTCTGCCCACACGTGTGTCATTTGGCGGACCGCGCGATGACATTGGCGTGCTATTTGTGATACGTGATCCTTCTTCATAGCACGTAAACGGTTTGCTATATGAAGAAGGGGGCCATTGCCTGAGACGTCGCCTATTCTTGACGGACATGTTGACTTGTCCGGTAATTGGAGTCTTGACGATCAACAACAGTGAGAAACCCCCTACCCCCCCCCCACTCCGCCCACCCCGTCGAGAGGAATCTCGCGTACAGGAGGTTGAGAGTTGCTCGGTTGGGAATCGCGAGAGATTTTTTTTTTTATCGCGCGCCATGCGGGGAATTTAACGTCGGGGAAACTCGCCCGTTCCATGAGGCCAGGAAGTGAGCACGAGACACCTGATCCTAGGGCGCCTGCAACATTTTAATGAAAACCTCGGAGAAAATTCATAGCCTTCTCCCGGCCATTAGTATGTCTGCCTCGTGCCCTTTATATTCGATTAAGTACTTTCACTGTTGCCAGTGCAAATGCGTACACACACGTGTGTTCGTGATAACGATGCCCCCTCCCCCCCCCCCCCCCCCCCTGGTTTACTCGTTACTCATGAGGACGTCTCTCCGAGTCTCGAGCTCCACTTCCAAGAGGGTCCTGCCACATTGGGATGTTTGGTCAGTTAGTCCGTGAATAAGTGTTGTTTTGGCACTGCGGACGAAACAGGAGTTAACCGGAGAAATGCAATCGCGGATATGGGGGAGGGGGCTGTGGCGTGGGATAACGCTGAAAGATCCGCACAGATAGATGTGAGAATCCATTGCTTGTTCTGCCATTTGCTGGCTACCTCATAGCCCAGGCCTAAAAAAAACACATCTGGCATTTCCAGGCAGTGTCCCATTCTTGTACGAACAAGGCTCAATCCGGCTTAGCTTCCCCGAGGTCTGATGAGATCGGGTGCAAATTCAAGTTGATTTGATTGAGTGCCTATGCACACCCGGTCCTGCGTATGAACTTCAGTGATGGGGAGACAAAGGTGGCTAGGCAAGCTTGGTACTGCCTGTAACCGCCGCTGTGTTTGCCCTTGCTGGCCTTAATAGGTGCTCACTGATAGTGCTTGCCCAGACATTATATACGGCCACGTTGAAGATCTTGTACTTGTGTATGTATTGTTTTTAATGTTATGCAGTATACATTCGCTTAACCAGGTCAAATACGGCCAGTGTGATGCGGAATATTTGTGGGTATCGTAAATGTTTAAGCACAACAGCTGTTGTCTGCTGTAATGTTGGAATACGTGTTTTTTGTGTTCAAGTTACTTTGTACTTTTAGCTTTTGTGCACTGCAGCATTGCTGCACTGTGGATCTTGGAAACTTGTCAGGTTTGAGCCTGATTATTTGTTGGATGGGTGACAAACCGGAGCTTTCCAGGTGCTCCACAGGTGGGGCTGTGACGCGACCAGCAGACACTAGAACTGAGAGCTTACCCCCTCGTCGTATATACGTGTGGGTTTTCTCCGGGTACTCTGGTTTCTTACCCGCGCAGGGTTTACCACCTGGCCCGGTTTTCCGAGGATCGTCCTCTTTTTTGAGTTTGCCATCCAGGAAAATGTGTAAGGCAAGAATACAACACTCAGTCCAAAGCATTTACAGGCAGTTCCTGGTCCCTTCCTTTTTGGTGAGATATTTTCCTTCAGGTTATATGTCCACGTGTTTTTTTTTGTAGCTACCGACGTGCCAAACAAATTTTTGGAATGGGCTAAACGTCTTGATGTAGGTCCCTCCTGAAAGAAAGGTCCTATCACCCAGTGACGCTTTCCTGAATGAACGATTGGCATTTAAATTATAGTATGTAAACATATACATGACCTTTTGAATACATTCATTTATATATCTATATGCCTCTGCTTGATGTGCGTTTTGCAGTGAAGCCCTATCAGCCGATTAAATAAATGTACTCAAATGATACGTCCATGAACCGAGTCTTTTAATGAATGAATGCACGTTGACTTCTCGGGCTCTCAAGAGAAATGTGCTGTGCTTACTAAGCGATATCCCAGGGATAAGGGAAGGTTGCCTCGTGCAACGGACGAGCGATGGGGAAGCAAAATCACTTCCCCCACAGTCACAGTGGCATCGTTAGCGCCTCCCACAGAGCGCTATTACAAGCACCGGTTGAAGAGGCTTGGCCAGTGAGATCATGAAAATGTTTCGTAAGTGTCGTCGTGTCAGCACAGCCATCGGGTAATCGAATATGGAGCATTGTTGTTGAGGGTCAACAAAAATTTCATTGATTGCGCTGGCAGTCGTCGCTCAAACACAAATAAGGAGAACCGATCACATTTTGTCATTAACCCTAAATGTTCAACTCGCAAATACTTGTTATAAGGCAATATTACTCAGGAAAGCGTTGAGGTGTTTTATGTTCATGTTGGCTGTTTTATCAAATACATTTTGATGTCGCAGTTTAACGAGCAGCTCTTAACAATCGCAGTAAACCTTTTATCTCTAGCCAGGTGGGGAACGGTGGTGCAGTGGTTATTGCACTTGCACTCAAAACCCGCTCACCCGAGTTCAATTACCGGCCATGGCTAACACCAGTGGCGTGTGATGTCTGTAGCGGCCTTTGGTCTCGCCCCCTCTTCACCAACCCGTACCGACCGGCGTGGCGAAGTGAGGTCACACAAACCCCCACGATCACCACGGCGTGGGAAGGGGCAGTAGATTGACGACCGGGCTGTAAGCAATTATTATTTTAAAATTACAATTATCATTAAAACGTTTGTGCTTAATTTCTTGTGTTTGTAAAGTTACGTGCGTTGAGACGCAATACGAGACATCCACAACGGCCACATCATCCGCGACATCGCCATCGGCAGCATCATCATCAGCATTGGCGGCACACACGCACTCACGTGCCCGTTGCCTCTCTTCCCGCAGGTCTGGCAAGCATTAAGTCGAGCACGTCCGTGGTGGAGCTGGTCATGCTGCTGTGCTCTCAGGTAATAAAGCCCCGGCCCTCGCTCTGTCTCCCTCGGCCAGCGTGACGCCCTTTGATCGCTGCCACCCGATCGCGCGTGTTTGGCCGCCAAAAATCAACAGGGGTCACGCATTCCTGCTATACCGGGGGTCGCGTTACATCCCCGTGACGTTCGCATCTCGGCTCGATTTTTCTCCGCACGTGGACCCCCCCTAGCCCCCCCCCCCCCACACACACCCCTCTCCTTCTCCGAACGCTGCCAAATTAATTGGCCGAACAGGTGGCAGCGTTTAGAGGGGTAGAGTGTCCCGAGTTCGCGCACGGGAAACGGTGCGGCGGCATCGGCGGCTGCGGCGCAGGCTGTTAGCGTTTAACTTTCTTTCGTGCGCGTATCATCATGGGTATACGGCTAAATAAAAGTCATTACCGTATAAGCCTCGTCCGGCCAGGGTATCTAATAGCTGTCGGTGTCGTATAGCGGAAGCCATGCAAATTGCCGGAGCGCAGTGGGTGAAGGAGCGGGGGAAGTGGAATTGCACGCGGCTCAAGTCAACCGAGAGTGCTTAGCGTGAGTGCCCGTCAAGGGGCCCCCCCGCCCGTCTCCGATTGGGCGCCGTCCCTCCGTGCGGGATCGCTCGTTGAGCCAGGTGCTGCTGGAATCTGTACAGCGTCGTTCGGCCGGTCGAAGGCAAATGATTCGTCGTTTACGGTCAATTTTTCGTTACCCGAGGTCACGTGGTGTGCGGCGGGTGGGTGGGGGGGGGGGTGGTCGGGAGGCGTGGCAGCGTGGCCCTTACAAAACAAAAGCACATGACGCAAAACAAATGCGAATTAGACGCAGAAATGTGTCTCTGGTTTACCTGCGAAGAATGGGGGCGAGGCTGTAGAATGCCTCGTGTGTTTGTAGTTTTCATAATCGAGTCCTGGCAGCTGCCAGAGTACTAGCAACACACCGTCGGTGCTGCTCGAGTAGAAGTAAATTATTGCGTTTGTTCATCACGTCACAACTTTGTTAATTGGCTGTGGGAAGATCCCCCATATAGCCTGAACAGAGTGTGGGAGCAAGCGCTGTTCGCGAGCACCGATGAAAGGCTGGCACGGGGCACACGAGGTGGTGGATGTCCAGCACCATGCCCGACCACCTTTGTCTCTCTAGTGGCGATGTTGGGTGGAGGAGGGTTCACGACACACATTTTACTCGTGCGATCTGACCTGAAAATCTATTTTGAAACATTGCTCGGGAAAGTATACATGTTAAAAATAGATGTATCTGTACGACCTTAATTAATTGTGAAGAAATCCACTTCCATCTTAACTCTCCACATAGGATTAAAGCACGATCTAGTACATTGCCGTTTTGGTCTTGTAAGGAATATGTGAACCAGCATTTGTTTAAACAAATAAAATCTGTGTTCATAATAAAGGTTTTTGGGTTAGATCGCGTTTATTTATAAATGTGTCATAACCCTCCACCACCCGACACGGCCAATCAGCAAAAAAAAGTGTCACATTGACAAAAGACAAATAATTCACTACTTTAGCCCACCGGTGTGTTGAAGAGTGAATCCACATTTACAGTTTGAGTACGACGTTTCGCTGGTAAATACATCCAGCATCATCGGGCAATTCGCCAGAATGGTAAAGCCCTTGCTTGCTCCCGGTTTTATATAGAGCAGCAGGGTGACGTCATCACTTAACTCATATCAGGTGCAGTGATTAGAGGCAGAGGGGGGGTATTGTAATTATATAATCGATTAGTAATCAGTAATTTTGTCAACGTGACCTTTTTTTGCTGATTGGCCGTGTCAGGTGGTGGAGGGTTACGACACATTTATAAATAAACGCGATCTAACCCAAAAACCTTTATTATGAATAATATTGGTCGCGAAAGCCTACGTGTTAAACTAAATCTGTGTTCTTGGTTCTTTTGGTAAAGTCACGTAGAAGGGAAACAATAATGATGATTGCTTGTGTTGCAGTCGAAACGTCGTGAGAATTTTATTGTTTTATATTTTTATTATTTTATTGTTTCCCTTCTACGTGACTTTACCGAAAGAACCAAGAACATGAATCCCTGCAGTCACGAAAGCTTTAAATCAAATTAAATCTGGACAGGTTTCAACCTTCTGGGTCTCATCGGCCAAGTCAGCTGCTGTAACAACAAAAAAAACTTCTGGTTTAGCATACTTCATTGGTTCGAGTACTCTCAAGGATGGGGCCCTGTCAGTGCAATAAAGAAATCAGTATTGTTTTCCTAACAATTACAATCAAGTAATTGTCCCTCTCATCTATTATTTTTCCCCTTGGATGCTCGAGCAGCCCCTGCTATGTGGCCCGTGATGTGGTTATGTCGTCATTAAGTTATTAGTCAGTGGCGCGCTCCCCGAGGAAGGGCCTGCGTTAGGAAGACACCCTCTGTCGTGCGCGAGCGACGCTGTGTTTGCAGAAGCCGCTTTCCGTGCGGCAGCAGACGGCACAAGTTGGTAACCTTTGTGATGCAAATCTGATGGTACGTGACCCCGGCTGCCTACAACCTGACATTAGCGTCCCAGCCGTGTCTCCCGGCCAACCATCATTTCATATATAAACACACCAGTTAATAAGTTGAGTTTAAAAAAAAAATGTTGGTATTGTTACTGATGTATGCCACCTGAGCTCCGGCATCATGCCGAAGAAATCTGTTCTGAAATCTCGCGGTGCATTGCGCCCCATGTGTCACGGGATTTCTCCCGAAAAAAAACCCCCTGTCAAGTGGCCTTTCTGTGCTTTGCCCAGTAGGGCCCACACGTTTCCCCGTACCCCCTTGTGTGAGATTGCCACATGACAGTCGAACTGATATTCGCATGGCTCAAAGACTTGCCATTCGCTAGAGAGAGAAACATGACACCACGGGTGGCTGCCCAGGTTTGAACTTAGGATCTCGGCAGTCTCGACTCAGTACTCTGAACTCTGAGCTACCCGCCCCACCCCTAATAAGTAGAGTTTTTTTATTTTAAAATATTACTTGCAAGCAAAAGCACAAGCTTGTCAGCCTCTAAGATAATACATTGCATCTGCCAGAGCATTGACCGACCTCTGCTATACTCTGTCAGCAGCAATGAACCAGTTGTTCTAACGCTTGTCGGCTGTTCCCAGGAATGGTTATAGGCCGTGGCTGAAATGTAAGGTCAAGTGAACGGGGAGGCCGCGCTTTTGGAGTCGTCCAATGCGCTCGGAGAACTCCTAGGTGTTGTTATCTACCGTTTCCTAAGTAGAACGATGACACCCCCCCCCCCCCCCCCCCGACAGGGCTGCAGAGGGGCGCGGGGCGCGGGTCCAGTGGTTCTCTCGCACTGCGTTGCGAACTCGGCAACCTGAGTTGTCGCCGATTGCCAGCCACAATTCAAATGGGTGACGACTCAATATCTGGTTCGGTCTCCTTGCCCCCCCCCGCGCTCAACCCTCTCCACCAACCCATAATTGCCCATTTTTCATCGAGCTTTGTGAAATGATCGCTGTGACCAAAAGGCCTGGGGCAGGGGGGAAGGCTTTCGTTCAGCAGCGGATCGACAGAAGGCTGCAAATCTCTGTTATTTAATATTTAAACGAACACCGTTTACTTTTCCGTACGCTCAACTCGTACGCCACGCGATGATGTGCGACGTTCATTCTCCCTTTAAAAGAAAATCCTTTCATGTTCAAAAGGGATTTATTGTTCTAATTTAAATGAAAGCAATTGAAACTGTGCTTCATAACTGGTAGCGCGATTTTTATGGTTGTTATAAGGCCGCATTTCCCACGTTTCCACTGCTCGGGAACCATGCTGCTTCAGCAATGGCCTCTCACGTAGCTATAAATGAAAGTTTTCCGCCCATTCGTTACACTTTAGAGGAGGCAGTTCTTATAATGTTTGGCCAATTAGAGAGTTCGGCATGATTAATAAATACAATTTAAAAACCCCTTCTTACATTGCCACGCAGAATTATTAATGTTGAGCTGCGTGTTTTTTACGCGATGGCTCACCAGGGGGAGGAATTAATATGCAAGGATGTTGCGCGCGTGCAATTTAAACGGCCTCGGTGCCAATTAAAACGAGGTAAATGAATATTAATGCGTGACCTTGAGAGAGCTTTTGCAACGCCGTTGCGTGCGCCCGTGCGCCCGTCACAGTTTGCCTTTTCCCTCTTTGCAATCGTCCTTTCTTAAGCAGCTAAACGCGGCGGTGTAAAGGGCAGAGGAGTCGCAGCTGCACTGCGTTCATCTTAAATCGTCGTCGTCGCCCTCGCCTCCCGCTTCTAGATCGGACGTTTTTCGTTGCGAGCTGCTCATCCACGAGCGTTACTTACGAGTGACTTGTGCAATCTGTTCCAGTTTGGCTTTTGTTACACTTTGCTCCTGTAACGATCCAGTGCATCGTAGATTCTCAGATCCATGTTTTCGTGCGACCCAACCGTCGATATAGTAGTCTATACCTGGGGTCAGATACAGTTAGAATTGTCGTTTCTTAATGAACGGCAATCACGTTGTAATTTCAGCGAACCACACAGCAATAATTCTAGCGATAATTTACCCCCAAGTCTGTGATACGAACAACCACATGAGAAGCAGAACTTTGATTTGACCTGAAAACATTCCATTTCCATCCGTGCTTAAAACTGTAAGCTTGCTTAAAACATTGTCGTAAAGGACTTATCATTTACAGGCGGTAAATATTACGTGGCCAGGAAATGGCCGTAATGTAACAGATTCTCAAATCCATCTTTGCAGAGATTTGAGTGTTACTAACTTGGTATGCATGGGTTGTCGCCAGTAACTTGGATTTCCGCTCCTGTGTAAAATACTCAATGTTGTAATCGATCAAACAACTCAACACGGGACCCTGCTTAAATGAGTCCTGAGACTCAGAAAGGCATTTCTGCTTAACGGATGTTAATATTCGTTATCCCACGAGTTGTGTGGATGTAATAAAAAGTGATATTTACCTCCAGATAATTGAAATTGAAGAGTATGTTCTGCAATGCCAATAAGTTGCCAAATACACCA